GACTGAGCGCGGGTCTGGGCTATGGGAAGCAGCCTAGTTCCCAGCCACCGCCGCCGCCTCCGCTGCCACCACCACCACACCTAGCAGAGGAGATGGGAGGAGATGTTTTCATTACAGTACTTTAACTACTTAGTAAGGAAGTAGCATTCTTTTCGATATGCAGTTTATGTTCCCTATAACCTCCCAGGTCTACTTTTGAAGTTTCCTATCTGGGATCATCCTCCTGATGAGTACTGTGTATTGGAAGGTGGGGCATAGTGATGCACACTTGTAATCTGGACACAAGGAATAAAGAGTCATTTGGGTATTTGTAGGTCAACTCTGTCTACATGATGAGTTCCGGACAGGCAGGATTACATACATGTCAACTTCATCAACAACATGAATGTTACCAGAAAATGCATAACACAGTAACCTACACATGAGAAAAGTTTGTGAATGTGTCGGTAAAGATACAATACACAGGACATTTAAAAACCATCTTCATTTTTATTTTAAGTGTATGGGTGTTTTTCCTGCATGTGTGTCTCTGCAGCACATGATTGCAGGGTCCAAAGAGGTTAGAAGACGGCATCATATCTTCTGGAACCGGAGTTACAGAGGGCTGTGACCTACCTTGTGGGTGAGTGGACTGCAACCTGGGTACTCTGCAAGGGCAATCATACAGTGATGTGTTTATAAATGCATCTGAGTAGAGTGTCCCAAAGTTGCATTCTTTGTACTTTGAGTCACACCTTGCAGGATACTCTGTAGGGAGACTCTGTAGCCCCGCCTCCTACTAGCCCCCTACAGGTGTTCCTGGCCCTGCCCATGAGGGCGTGGTCAGGGGAGGTCAAAGATGATGCAGAGAGAATTCTTAAGAGCCCACCAACTCGTGGACCCTCCCTTCTCTCTGGCCATGCTAGCTTGCGGCCTCTGGGCACGCTCTGGCTTGCGTTTGGGCTGGTTTTTATCTGAATAAAGAAATCTTAGCCTTACGGACTAAGGATCATCTTTGAGTGCATGTAGCATGCAATAATACTCCAAGGTCAAGATTTGTTGCTCTTTACATTCACCAGAAGTTATCATTTCTAACAGGAGCAGTACATTCATTAAATACTTGATAAATTAACATGCACACTTTGTTCACATGAACTTTCCAGGTATTTCTGGTTCCTACCTATGTGGAAAGATGCTGATGTTTACTTAACATCATTGACACAAGGCTAACGTTTTTATGTAAAATATTGTGTTAATTTAGATTTATATGTATATTTTTATTTTAAGTTTTTCTATGAGATGATTCTATTCCTTGAAGTGTGTTTTAAGTTCGCCCCAAGATGAGGTCTGCAAGCACCAGCCATGAAGAATTTGTATAGACTTAATGGTTTATATTTATAGATGCTTTAAAGACCCTCTTTTACAGACAGAGGAATGGGTAATTCTGCTGTGATGTAACAGGTGGCCCTAGACAAGGAATTTGCATTTGTTTACTGACTGAGCACCACAGCAGTGATCTACTTTATGCTCTACACCATGGTTGTGTGCCTATTTTTTTTTTTTTTGTGTGTGTGTGTGTGTGTGTGTGTGTGTGTGTGTGTGGAGACAGAGAGAGAGACAGAGAGAGAGACAGAGAGAGAGACAGAGAGAGAGACAGAGAGAGAGACAGAGAGTTTCCCAACTCATGGTGCCTCTTCATAGTCAATATTGCCCTCTGATTTGCCACTACTCTTTCCTCCATCTACTGAATCAAGGTTTGGGCATCATACTATTTCTAGAACTGTTTGCTTTCAATATCTGAGGGCTCACTGGGCTCAGGTGGCTCCAGCCAGATCTGTCAAGTGTTAATCACACCTTTAATCACAACCTCATAGTTTAAGTTCTACTAACAAACTGGGGGAAATTTTCATCACTATGTATGTGATTTCAATTGTTCTGAACCCAACAATCTCTAAAAGTCTGAAGTTTTCCCCTAGATGCTGTTGACTTTAGAGGACTCATCCCTCCTTCTCCCCATCACCTTGACCTAATCTTACAGCATCATTTATTACTCATCTTACTGAGTAATACTCATCTTAAGGCGGGGAAGAGCCATCCTGTGCAGTGTTTTGAAAGTGAACCTTCACCTCCCCACAGATAAAGTCTAATGCAGCAGAGAGATTGATCCAGGACTTTGGAAGAAGACTGTGACAGAGAGCTTTCCCTGTGACTCTAGAGAGACTCCTAATAAGGCACCTTGGTTTCAGTTCATTTTGAAGTGAGGTAGATAGCAGGGAGGTAATGGCAGTTCCATGGACATAAGCAGACCCCAACTGGACATTCTAGTGTGTCCTGGAGATCCCGGCCTGGCATTCTGTGTGATGTCACCAGTGTTGTGGCAACACCAACTGACTTTGGGGCATCCGTTCATTGCCTACAGGCTGTACCCGTAGTCATGTTGGCAAGATTGAGCCGGCTTCTTGGGAGACAGAAGGGAGAGAATAACAAGACTAGAGAGATGCAGAAGGAAGCTGGCCTTTGGTCTCAATTTCACACATCAAGAAACAAATATTTCTGGGGAAAATGTGGTGAGTCCTGGGTAGGGATGGGGAGCTTCCCGAAGGGGAAAGGCTTCAGCTGGGACTTTCAAGTTGGGATTCAGGATCTTGGAGATTTGGGGAAGTAATGGGCATATCTTTCTCCTCTGACTTCCCAAAGAGCAGACCTTGAGTCAAGGATTTCTGATGGTTACTTTGGCAGAGAGCCAGGAATGGTCAATGCTGCAGCTGGTGGGCTAGGGGCCCTCGGCTTTCACTCTGAGTGGGAGGGAAACACAGAGGGATGAATGAGGTTTCAGTGATAGCCTTCACTTCACCCACATTGGATTTCTTTTGGTTGTGTGTCACTAATAACTGGGAGAGTCAAGTTCTTTGGATACATCTGAAGGTTCTTACATTTTACCTCACAGTCACTTGCAGAGCCCAGCCACAAAGTATTGCTGCATGTCAGTGAGCCCTAAGTTTTCTGAGTTCCTGCCCTTTCACTAGCAAGTCATCCTTCCTCTATGTCCAGTACACAAATGAGCCATCACCTTTCCTGCAAGTGTTTGTTCTTGGTGTCTGAGGTGTCTGAGGGCTCACCTGTAGATGCCCTGTCCTTAAGTATCTCCAGCATGTCCTGTTGCTAGGTGATCATGACTTTGCTAACATCATGATAGATGGGATGTATTCTCCTGTAGTTTGGGGGAAATTTTCATCATTACCTATGTGACTTACCTGTGGTCGGATGGACACCCACAATTGCCCACCACCACCATACATTGTAACAGCCTCATGGACCTTTCCCGTTGTGCTTGTTTACTTCATGGAACTGGTTTTCCTTTCCCATCATCCTGGGCTAATTTCTTAGTATCCTTTACTTCTCTTCCTGTTGATTAGGGATCTTAAGGAGAGGAAGAGCAGTTCCTGGAGGGTTTTGGATACTGAGTCTTTACCTTCACAAGATGAACTAGTAAAAAGTGTCTAATGAATCAAAGATATCTGGATTTGAGGGAAAGGTGCTGAAGGTCCTCCCTTGTTTATCAGGGAACGTTCCTGGAAAGGGCTGCTTGGCTTTTGGTTAATTGGGAAAGATAAAGTTATTAGATAGGTGATGACAGTTAGCAGTGACCCTAACAGTCCCTTCTCTGGACATTCTGTTGTGTCATGGAGAGCCCTTGACATATTCTGTGAAATCACCAGTGTTGTGGCAAGACCTACTGTCTTTGGGACACTCATTAAGTAATTATAGGATTCGACAGAAGACATGTTGGCAAGATTGAGCACACTGATAGGCAGAGAGCTCTGGCTTTCTAAGGAGGGTTGGGGCTTTTGCTGGACCTTCCAGAAATGGGGTTCATTAGCTGGGATCTTTGGAAGACATGGGTCTATAATGTTTCTTTGGGTTCTTAAATTGCAGACCTAGAGTCAAAGATTTCTAATGGTTAGGTTGGCAGAGAGCCATGGGTTATCAAGGCTGCAGCTGCTGTTCTAGGAGTTCCTTAATTGCATTTTGAGTGGCAAAGAAGGCCACCAGGAGGCACAGACTAATGAGTTGTGATGGTAGGGTGTTGTTACAATTCATCTTCATTGTATTTCATAGGTTCCATGTGTATCTGATATGAATACCAGGGAGGGAAACTCTCCATCCTTGTCCTGAGGTCTCAGACATTCAGTTGCTTGTAGTTCTAGGGGAATAGGGATTGGTGGTGCTAAGCACTAGGGAGTCCAGGACTTTTCTTCTTCCCATTAGATATGAGCTGACCTTTCCAAAACATCACAGCTGGGTATCATTTCCTTCCAGGGTCAGTGGGACTGCATTAAGGGTTGATGCACACACATATCTAGCCATGGTGATTGGAGAGACAGACATGACTTATGGGTCCCCTGTTTGAGGAAAGTTGTCCTGCTCTTTGGGGTTTTCACTGGGTTCCATGCATTCCACATTGCTCAGGCTTCTTCTTAGTACTCAACCTGATTTCTCCTGGCCCTGTGCCATAACAGCTATGAAAATATGTTTATCACCTACAGGGACAACTGGAAAGGCATCAACCCCAACCTCTCTCACTAAGCAGGAGCAACAGATGAACAAGTTGGATAAACTGACCCATCAACTTGAGATGCTAACCAATGAAAGGAATGAACTCCAAGGAATCCTGGCCAATTACACGAACAAGGATTTGAACAACAGGTAGTCATTATGTCCAGTTCTCTATTGAGTCAATCCCAGAATTCCTCAGGCCACCAGAGACTGCACGTCCAGGAGTCCCCATACCAAAGCTAATTTTCCTGACTGCATCTGAGATGGAGAATATCTGAGAGGCAGACCTGAAGATGGTTAGAGTGAAATGAAGCAGAGCCTATGGCCTGGATTAGTCCGGGGATAAGGTCAATAGCGTGTGAGCTCTCAACATTCTATTCTAAAGGCCTTGACAGGTGTTGGCTTGTGGGAGATGCTATGTGCTGTATTTGGTGAGAATTTGTACTTGACCAGCATGTGTAGAAGGAGTTTCTGTTCTGTCTGGTCCCACAGTAGTTTAGCCCCAAGTAAACACACAGAGACTTGTATTAGTATAAAATATTTGGCCAATGGCTCAGGCATCATGGGCTAGCACTCTCTTAATTATTAACCTATAATTTCTAATCTATGTATTTCTACATGGTCGTATATTACTGGAGATAGTCTGGCATCCCATCTTACCAACAGGTACATCGAGTCTTCCTTGTGGCCTCTCTCTGCATCCTTTCCCCAGTACTGTCCTTGTCTCATAGCTCTGCATATACCTTCTGACTGTCTATTGACCAATCAATGTTTTATTCAATAACCAATAAGAGAAACAGATACACTTCTGGACCTCCCCCATCAAGCGTGTTCTTTGGTGCTGGTTGCTCCTGGAAGCAGCTAGAGGGGCCTGGTCCACTTGGTCCATCTTATTGTGTGACTTGAAGATTGGTCCTCATCACTGCTCCTCTGAGGCAATGCCACCTCCCTACATTTAGTTGGCATTCTCAGTGTGTATATGTGAGTGACTGGATCCTGGAAGTTGTGGGTCTATGGCAGGCATATGTTCTCCCTGTGTCACAGTTTCCAAGTGATGCCTGCATTAAGATCAGGGAACTCCACTATGAACAGCAGATGTTCAAACATTGGCAGCTCTTTCAAAGCCAATGGAGACATATACAACTATCTTTTAGTTGGGTCTCCTCCCTGAAATACTGATTGTGTGCTCTGGGCATCTATATACCAATAGGTACCTGGGACCAAAAATCCCTTTTCTGAAGATAGCAGCAACATTTTCAGACTTGTGTCACAGACTCCGGAGGCCTTCCTAGAGAGCTTGTCTATTCCTCCAGACCCAGTGATGGAGCTCATGCAGTCTTGGCTCACTCCCTTTGCACCCCCTGACTGGTATCCTGGGGTTAACAAGCACAGGTTGTCCCAGTTCATAGGTAACCAGAATGTGACATTGACTGTGCTAGGGTAGTTTCTGGGCACAGCCTGAATTCACATGATCATCGACTTCCTGTGTTCATGGGGTTCTTTCCTCCTGGGCCCTGCCCAACGCTAGGCTGAATTTTGAACTGGAGTTGCTGAATATGGAGCATCAAAAAGTGATGTTGGATCTGCAGAAATTACCCAAGGAGATTAATGAGGCCTTGCAGAAGTGCAAGCAGCTTACTGAGGAAACTGTCTCCTGCAGGTGAGTGACTGACTGCACTGTGACCCTTTTACTTGGCAGTGACTGCCTTTACCATTATTTTTGTCTTTGAACCAAAGTGAGGACTTTTGTTCTATCCCATCTGTGTCATAGTAAGCAGCCTACCTTGTGCTTTTGACCAGTTTTGCCCCTCCCAGCATTGTCCTGCCAACCTCAGGAGCCTCTAGGTAGACAAACTGTTTTCACACTTATGGGGTGTTTGGCACCTGTGGGTTTCTGTGGCTCTGGCAGAGGCTTACAGAGCTGATTCCATGGGACCCATAGATGGAACTTATTGCCATTCGTTGTCCTTGCTCAGAGAATGTTTGCCTTATATCTCTCTTCCTGCTTATGCTTTCCCAATACCATGAACAGTTCAGCACATGTGGGGTGGGGGAGAGGTGGCAAACCCTGCTTACAGAAACACACAGATTCTTTTTAGTTTCAGGGTTTTCAGAGGTAGTCTGAGTCTTTCTGGAATTAGGCTGTTCTCTGGCTTTTGTCAGCAACTATGTTATGCTGACTGGCCTACTGTGGGCTCTAGTCCGGAGCTGTCTGGGCACATGGGGCCTTGAATGGATGATGTGGGAATAGCAAATGGATACTAAATGGGGCTCATCATTTTTTTTCCGTGATGGTTCAGGATTCTCCACAACCAGGTCCTGAATGAGTGGACTCAGCTGAAGGAAAAAGTAAGGGTGCTGAGAGAGGAGAACAGAAAACTTCGACGGGAGCAGATTTCACTACAAGAGTCCAGTGAGGAGATGAAGATGCTCTGTGGGGAGGCCCATGAGAAGATCTATGAACTCTCGGCCAAGGAGATGCTGGTAGGCTTAGACAGAGTTGACAAGCTGCCCACCACCTTTAATTTCTCTCTCTCTCTCTCTCTCTGTCTTGCTCTGTCACAACACACACACACACACACACACACACACACACACACACACACACACAACACTTATTTGACCTTCTACCCCATTATCTAACAGATCACCAATATCCCATCAATTGTGATTTCTGTGGCCATTCAAAGTCTTTCTGGGAAGTTAGCATCTTGTGAGATCACTGGCTGAAAGCAGCTTTCAACAGGGAGAGCCCTGTGTAAATGTCAACGGAGTTGTTTTCATTGTCATCGTATATTTCTTCTCTCATATATTACATCTCAATATCAGTCCCTCTCCCTCCCCAAAGCTAGCCACCAAGGTCTGGTTTTATGTGGAAGTCTTTCATCCACTGGTATTTGAGTTTTGTGTAGTGTAAAGAATATCAATCTGTTTGCATTTTTCTACATGCAGACATCCAGGTTGACCAGCACCAGTTGTGGATGCTTTCTTTTTTTCCACTGTGTCTTCTGTGTTCTTTATCAAAAATCAGGTGTCTTCTGGTGTGTGAATTTATGTCAGGGTGTATGGTTAGATTCTGTTGATCAATGTATGCATTTTATGCCAGTACCATGTGGTTTTTATTACTACAGCTCTGAAGTGCAGCTTGAAATCAGGGATGGTTTTACTTCCAGTTCTTTTCTTACTGTTGAAGGTTGTTTTAACTATCTTTGGTTTTTTGTTTTTCCAAATGAGGTAGAAAATTGGCCTTTCAAGGTCTGTAAAGAATTGTGTTGGAATTTTGGCGGGGATTGCCGAATCTGATATTGCTTTTGGTAGACTGGCCATTTTTACTCTATTGATCCTACCAATCCATGAGCATGGGAGGTTTTTCCACCTTTTGATATATTCTACATTTTTTTCTTCAAAGACTTGAAATTTTTTATCATAGAAGTCTTTAATTTTCTTTGTTAGAGGGTCCACAAGACACTTTATATTATTTTTGGCTATTTTGAAGAAAGTTACTTCTCTGATTTCTTTCTCAGCTTCCTTTCCAATTTGTATCCCCATGATATTTGTCAGTTGTCTTATTGCTCTAGGTCAATCTTCAAGTTTTATATGGAATAGATATGGATAAAGTGGACAGCCTTGCCTTGTTCCTGATTTTAGTAGAATTGCTTTTAATTTCTCTCCATTTAATTTGATGTAGATTGTCTTTCTATCTCCAGAACCTTTATCATGAAAGGGTACTTGAATTTGTCAAAGACATTTTTGGCATCTAGTAAGATGATTGTATGTTTTTTCTTTCAGTTTATATGGCTTATTACATTTACTAATTTTTATAAGTTGACCCATCCCTACATCTCTAGGTTGGAGCCTACTTTGTCATGATGATTCTTTTGATATGTTATTGGATTTGGCTTTCAAGTATTTTATTGAGTACTTTTGCATCTATGTTCATGAGGCAAATTGGTCTCCATGTTTCTTTGTTGAGTATTTCTGTAATTTTGGTATCAGGGTAACTGTGGCTTCATAAAATGAATTGAGCAATGTTTCTTCTGTTTTTTTATTTTTTTATTCAGACTTTTCCTTTTATTGATCATCTTCCAACTTGCATCTGCACTCTATCGTTATCCACTTAAACATTAAGTCATAGCTCTCTTTCAAGAAGAATAAGGAAATTGTATTTTGGATAGAAACACCATTGGCTTGGCAATCCCAAATACTAAGATCCAAAATGGTTACAGCTTCACGAAGTTTTCATAATTGCTGAGGAAAAATTTCTTAAGCTAAGGCACACTTAAAATGCATTTGTGAGAATATTAGATGGGTTACAACACAGTAGTGAAGTCTCTGCTTTAGGTTTTTGATGCTATTTGATATCTTCTTCATTTTTGGTGTAGTGGAAGCTACTAGTCTTTTCATACATTCCAAAAGAATTTATCTGATAATCGCAATGATGTGAGGCCAGATACAAGGGTGAGTGATGAGTAGATATTAAGCAGGGTAAGGATAGCTAGAGATAACGATTCCAGATTCATAAAGTCATTGTTTTTCTTTTTTTCTCCAGTCATTTATTTAGTTCATAAATAAAGTCATGCACAATTATGATACAGAATACAGCATGTTCACAATGGCATGGCTAAATTAAGCCAATTAACATGTTATATCACACATATTCATCATTTTTGTTTTGAGAACACTTAATGTATACTATCTCACAACTTTTAAAATATAGCATATTGTTATCAACCATATTTATCATGCTTTCAGTAGACCTCAAGATTTCAGAGAGTCCATGCCTCTTGTCCAACTGCAGTTTTATATCCTTAAACCAATCGTTTCCCCATTGTTAAAAGACCCACATTGAAGCCCAATAGCCACAATTCTGCTCTCTGTTCCCATAAGTTCATCATTTCTAGGTTACACATAAAATTGAAATTGTGTGACATTTGTCTTCTAGTGTATCACTTATTTTTCTTTTTTGGCAAGCATATAACTTTATTACTTACTAAATATGAAATCAAATTTGCATGCACAGGTGAGCACTCACTGAAACACCTTGTATTCATCACATATTTGAGTTTCAATTAGCATATTTATATTTATATTTATATTTAAGAGCAATAATGGCAATATGTTATGCATCGATAGCAGCAACAGCTTTTCCAAGTTCTGCAGTCCTTTGAACAAAATTGTAGAGACATCCAGCACACTCAATTTTAAAAAAACAAAAAACAAAAAACAAACAAACAAACAAATAACAACAACAAAAAAGTGAAAAACAGAATCCCAGGAAACAGTACAGTTCTGTTACTCTTGTGGTACTTGGCACCATTTTTTTTTAAATTAGTTTCTCAGTCATCATCTGGGAGGAAACCATTCTGAGCAACATCATTAAAAACAGCTCTGATAAAGCATTGTTACTACTATGTATCATAAAGCAGGTCCACATATGAGTGAGTACATATCATGTTTGTCTTTTTGTGATTGGGTTACCTCACTCAGAATGGTTTCTTCGAGTTCCATCCATTTTCCTGCAAATTTCAAGATTCCATTGTTTTTTTCTGCTGAGTAGTACTCCATTGTGTAAATGTACCACAATTTCTCTATCCATTCTTCGGTTGAGGGGTATCTAGGCTACTTCCAGTTTCTGGCTATTACAAATAATGCTGCTATGAACATAGTTGAACATATGTCCTTGTTATATGAATGTGCTTCTTTTGGGTATATGCCTAGGAGTGGAATTGCTGGATCTTGTGGTAGACT